CTGTTGGATTGATTTTTTGTGGTCCTTTGCTATTTTTAAGAAGTCTTTATTTTGATGAGTAAACACAAGTCTATTTTTTAGATCTGATATTCTGTCTTCACATTGGTTGATTCTGCTCCATATACTTTTAATAGAATTTTTCATCTCCTGGCAGTCTGTTTGAGTCTGTTTTATGAAACCCAGTTCTTCCCTATGTTGGGCATTCATAGTTTCCATCACTTCCTAAACTACTCTTATTTTTTCTCTGCATGTACTCTAAATTCATTAACCATATCCTTCATTATGGTTATCCTTAGTCATCTGTGAAATCATTTCCAATTTTTTTTTTGTAAGGAGCCCTTCATCTTCTTTATTACTTCTGCTACCACCCTTTCAGAAAGTTCAGCTGGGTAGCTTTGATTTCTTTCACCTGTCCCCTGGGAGGTCTGAGGTCTGGAGGTCTGGGGTCTTCTTGTTTCCTTATTTTTTCATTTTCTATTTTTTAAAATTTGTTTTCTGCATTATTACTTGTAAATTGCTTGTAGTAGGTAGCTTTATTACTAGTATCAAAACCTCTTCAGGAAATGACTGTTTTTCAGAGATGTATTCTAGGTGTAGCTGGCTTTCGGCTTTTGAGTCTGTCCCAACATCTTGCCTCTTCAATTTATTAGGGATGAGAGGTTGTTGCCTCTTTGGCCTAGCACCCAATTATTTAGCACTGGACTATGGTACTTGTATGACCCCCAGACCATCTCGGTATTGGCATACAAGGAAGAACAACTGATCACAACTATGTCACCCTGGCTAAAGTAGTAGAAGCAGTAAAAACAGCATCAACAACAACAAAAAAAACCCAGCATCAAGCACAGACTAGAAAATGATAGACTGTGGTAATTGTTATATCACTGCCTTTAACCACTGGAACAGTATTTATAGGTATATATCAAAATCTAAAACAAATCAGAAAATTATATACAGTAAATATCTACTCAGCAGAGTAATTTTACCTTTCAGGGAAAACTTTTTTTCTTTTTTTTTTTTTTTGTCTTTTTTTGAGACAGGGTCTCGCTATGCCGTTCAGGCTGGCCTTGAGCTCACTTTGTAGCCCAGGGTGATCTTGAACTTGCAACAGTCCTGCCTCAGCCTCCCAAGTGCTGGGATTACAGGCGTGCACCACCATGCCTGGCTCGTCAGGGCAAAAATATAAAAGAGAAAAGAAGAAAAATAGGAAAAAGAAGAAAAAGAGATTGAAAGTAAGGCTGAAGGACAAAGGAAAATTACCCAAGCTTCAGGAAACTAGTGAAGAAGATAAGAGGGAAAGAATGAAGGAAAAGAACAAAAACCAAAAAAATGAAAAACTGTTCAGATTCATTAAAAAAAATCAAGACAAAAAAAGAGATTTCTCTGCTATTTCAAACTTTTAGTTATCTTCTGGAGTATACAGTTTTGTGGTATGTCCAATTCAAGGCTTGTCTCTGCTGTCACTGATAGGCAAAGGAGGCAGAGCCCAGATCCATACTGGATGATCCCAGCAAGCCTGCAGTAGGATTAAGCATGGTGCTGATTCTGGTGTTTTCAACTCCACAGAAGTTCAGGCCAATCCTGGCCACTGGTTGTGGTGTTTGGGCTTGAATTTTTCAGCCTACAACACCCTGGATGTCTCGTGCTGACCTTACCTCAGCTCCCTGACCCTGGATGTCTCTCACAGTTGTCCCTCACCCAGTCATTGTGGGATTTCAACACTGGGAGCCCTGAGATGAAGCCAGCCCATAGCTGCTCTCAGCTCCAGGTTCAGTTGGTCCCTCCCTAAGTTGGCATCTGGTGAAGCACCCCCTCCAGTGGACACAGTAGTCACTTAGACTGGAGTCATGAGCTGTTGTATTCCACAGCATACACAGCTCCATTCCGTTTGGGCATTTTTCACTGGAAGCCTTTGGAATCACTTACCCTCACAGTGTCTCTGTAGATTTATTTCTCCTCGCATGCTGGGAGACAGGGAGAATGTACAGCTTGTACCCTCTTTTCTCTGCATTGTAGTCTGTCTCTTCACTGTCTCTGTTGGCTCCAGTTTTCCCTTCAGAACCTTCCTGGGTCCCAGGGATCCCCCTCTCTTTGTTTCTTCCCCAAATTGTTATTTTCCAGCGTCTGGATTCTGAATCTGGGAGAGGTTGATTTGTTACTGCTTATTGCTCCACCATCTTCCCACGAGTCATAGCATTTGGGGGGCGGGCAGGCTTTTTAGGAGGTGGGTCAGAGAAACAGTGGGCTTGTGGCTTGCTCTTCTCTGTGACCTACTGACATGTTCTCTGTGACCTGCTGAAATGTCCCACAGGGGTCTGCTGGTGAACTGCTAATATGTCCTCTGTGATCTTGTTCCTCTAAACCAGATGATGGATTCAGGTGTAATCTGAATGCACAGATGCATCTGGGGAGGCACAGAACCAACAAAGCAGTCCCAGGAACTACTAACTGCTCCCATCAATTTGGAGTACTTTGAAAAACCAGAACTGACGAAATCTAGACCAAATTGCAAGCTAGAACACTGACCAAATTCAGAGGCAAAACTCTGGGCAAATTCTCAGCCATGCGAGACCAGATGGCTTTTTACCTTTACTGGTAGGTGATGGCCATCTTTGTCTCCTCTGATTGTTTTTGGCTTGAGGTCTGCTGTGCCTGAAAATAACCTACTCTTGGCTTTGTTTTGAGCTCTTGATTGCATGGATTGTCATTTCGTACCCTTTCACCTTCAGTCTGTGAGCTTCTTTTTGGAAGCAGTGTGTCTCCTGTAGGCAATATATGGTTGCATTTTGTTTTTGACCTAGTCTGCCAGTCTGTGTATTTTCATTAGGGATCAAGTTAAGATCACTGACATCAAGAGCTCCTATTGTAAGGTGTTTACCAAATCCTGTCATTGCATTATTATTCCAGTGCTGATTCTTTTATTTTTGTTTCCTTTTATTTAACTACTTCCTAAGTTAGATGTATACATTCCTTTTGGCTCTTTGGTGATATTGGTACTGTCTTCAATTTTGGCTTAGTGTTTGTGAATTTCTTTAGGATTTATTTGTCATGAAAATCTTTACTTCTTAAAAGATACCTTTGCAGGATATATTAATCTGGGATGAAATTTGTTTTATTTTGGAGTTTGAAAAACTTAACTCTGATCTGTTCTGGGCATTAAGTTGATGTTGAGAAATCTACTGTTATTCAGATCAGGTTGCTTTTATAAGTTAATGTTTTTCATTAACAGGTTTTATGACATTAAATTCATGCAAATTTCTCAAGGTTGGATTATGATATGTTGTGGAACTTTTTTTATATTTTTATACTCATAGCAGTTTGGGGTTCTGTAGCCTCATTTACCTCGAAATTGAATTCTGCCCCTACGTTTGGAAAATGTTTTGCTATGATTTCATTCTTACCATACAAAAACTTTGAGAAAGCTTGGTACATTTGGGGTTCTTTAGTGGTTTGTTTTTTTTTTGATTGTATGAGGAGGAGGAGGAAGAGGCAGACTGGAGTACAGAGCTTTTTGTGAAGGACTTTGTGAACCTTACTAAGGCATTTGACCTTTGTCCTGTAGGTCATGTAGATCTGTTGATAGGTTTTAAATAGGAGAGAAATGATGTTGCATTTTAGCAGCTATTGATGGGAGATTTAAGTTTATACCTTCAGTGGGCTTTCAGCTATTTAACGTTCAGTTCAGCTAGCCAGTGAGGGTCATCAGAGGACTCATGATCAGTGAGGGTCATCATTTCCTACAAATGAGGCACAGGTTTTACTAAACAGTTCCTATTCCAGGTAAGGTACATGCAACTTCTCACTTGATTCATCCAGTATCTTGTGCCCTGGTTTGGTGCTGTTCACAGTGGTGACTATCATATCTATTAATGAAACAGCATGGCAGGAGCAGTGGCTTATGCCTATAATAGCAGGTCCTTAAGCAGGAAAATCACAAGACATAACACAGCCTAGTGCAATTTAGCAAGACCACAAAACAAAAATAAAAATAATAGAAGGGATAGGGATGTAACTCACCATTCCTTGAGTCCATTCACAGTACCACAAGAGAGAAAGTGACAGTGAGAGACAGAGACAGAGAGAGAGAGCATGATGGCTATAGTAACAACAGTAGCATTCAAGCCTCAAGACCCTAATGTACCAATGGTGGTATTACCCAACCAGATGAGAAGATATCTAGAAACTACAGCAATATTGTCCCAGGTTCATGGTACATATTTTGATTATAGCACCTTTGGCTGGCGTCATTAAGCTTTGTGAATGTCCTGATCAATTTGCCAAGGGATAGGAGCAGAGATAGGTTTTCCATTTGTTAATCTAGGTGGGGTTCAGGCTAACACCGTTGGTTTTATTGTATTTTCTTCTGAGTCTCTTTTTAAGCTAATTACATATTGAATGAAGTTGTACATCCCTAGGCCCTAAGAGGGAAGGGAGACCGATCTTGATTTGAATGTCTGTATCTCTGCTACTTATCTGTATAATCTTTAGGTAAATAACCTCACCCCTTTAAACTCTAGTTTCACCTCTGTATAATGGAAATGATAATTCCTACCTTGCAGGGTTATTATGAAAAGGTAAGCTACGTGAAAGCAATTAACATGTTCCCAGCACAGAGATCCTCTTGTTTAGCTTCTGTTGTAGTTATCTTGTATATTTGCTTTTCAAGCAAAGGTTGCTTTCTATTTTGTGAAGGTTGAAGTATCCCCTACTACCTCCATCCTTAGACCAGAAAAAAAAAAAATTCCCGCTATGTTCCCGGTATATACATCAAGCCTTTGGATAATTTAAGAATTTAAGAAGGTAAAAAAAATCACGGCTTTAACACTAACAAAATGTTGAACAAAGTGTGTAAACTAATGGGTTATGTTATAAAAGATGTGTAAATTTTAGTGAAATGGAAAGGTAAAATAATGCTCATTTTTAATAACAAAAACTTACTCTTCTTAGCTAAAGTTGTAACGCCCTTCTTTAATTCTTTTCTTCTCATAACCTTTCAACAGGACTTCATCGACTTGACTAGAGAAACCAGACCGAGGGCGAAGGACCGCAGTGGGTTCTCTGTGATTGACCTGACAAGAAGTGAGGAAGAGAATACACCTATTGATACTCTCGATTTGACTTTGGAATCTGTCGTTCCCACTCAGAAGGAACCAGCCTGTCTTCAGACATGTTCCAGCCTGTCCAGCAAAGAGGTGATGGAAGCCCGAGGGAACAGAAGCTCTTGGCCTGTGGCACGAAGAATCATTAACAGTGAGCCTGTGGATCTGGATCTGTTGGAAGAAATTCCTTTTGAAGATCCTCAAGCCCCTGCATCTGTCAGTCAGGACTGTGTTTATCCAGAAGAGCCAAATTGTAGCTCAGCTACATTCCAAGGTGACCTCAGCTTCTTGACAAGCACACAGCTATCTTCAAATGTTAGCTCCCTTTCCCCAGCAAGCAATAATGGCAACAGCAATCAAAGGGCCCCCTTGCTGTGCCCGCGGCAAGATGAGCCATGCCCACGACAAACCTTGCCATGCTCACTGCGAGCCCTGCCATCCCCGCAGAGAGCCTCTCCGTGTCCACCACGAGCCTCCTCGTGCCCACCGCGAGCCTTGTCATGCCCATCACAAGCCACTCAGTGCCAGCTACCAGCTTTGCCTCACCCACCTCAAGAAGTGCCGTGCCCTCCTCAAAATGTGCCATGCACTCAGCACAATATCCCTGTCCTATCTCAAGACTCATCATGGCATCCTCATTGCTCACTGAGCCCACCTCAAGGCTCTCTGAGCCTACCTCAAGATGTACCAGGCCCACCTCAAAACCTGTTGTATCTACAAGATGTGGCATACCAGCAAGATATACAGTCACTGCGAGATGTGTCGTGGTCACTGGGAGAGGTACCACGGCGACTGGAAAATATACCACAGTTACCTGGCAACATAGCACAGTCTCCAGGCAATATGTCACAGTTACCCAGAGGTGTTCTACTTTTGCCAGATGTTCTACAGTCACGTGAAGACGTGCTACGCTCATCAAGAGACCTGCCATGTTCACCAGGAGACTTGCCTCGCTTACCACAAGACAGACCTGACCCTCCCCAGAATAACATACAGAATTGTGACAGTCCTATGGATATCTCAGCTCCATCCTCTACAAGTTGCTCCCCCAGCCCACCATCTTCACGGTCTGATGCTTCCTTAGAGAAAGTTCCTTGGCTTTCTGTCACAGAAACATCAGTCAGAAAAGAGATGTCATTGTCAGAGCCTGCCTGTGCCAGGTCTGTCCAGGTACAAGCACAAACACTGCAAGGCAGGCTGTACAACAGACCCTGCCTGCATAGAATGAAGTACTTTTTGCGACCTCCAGTCCACCACCTCTTCTTCCAGACACTAATCCCAGATAAAGATGCACGAGAGGTGAGCTAACTTACCTACCCCTAGGAGTTACATGTCTTGTCTGTAGGCTTTAGATGAAGATACCTATGACTCAAGTTCTTGTACGAAAGGACAAGCCAAGTGAAAATGATATTTTTTATCTTTTTCTCACTTGTGGAGAGACCATTCAATTTAAGGTCATATCTGAGTTTAAATTTCAGCTCCATCCTTAAAATTCAGCACTGTGCACTTTGCCTTTGTGAGCATTAGCCTTCCTGCCTGTAAAGTGGACACTCATCAGGCCCCTAAAAGCACTGATACATAGAAAGTGCTTGTTTGTGTTTGGTTCATCATAGGCCATTATCAAATTCCTGTCTTCAGTTCCTGTGCCTTTCTTTCTCTTCCCAACAACTTTATTACACTCCCATATAACAGAGAGAATTAACACTCTTGTCACTTCAGTGCCTCCAGAATGATAACTCTGAATTTGTGGTAGAAATTTAATTTAAGATTTTAATGGGAATGTTACTTTCCTTTGGTCTTAATTGATCTATCAGAACTAAACTAGATGTGTGAGGGAAAAACCTTGCGTCCTAGTCTGACAGGATGAAGCCTTTCTTTGTTTGGCTGGTTTGTTATCTGCAACCCCAGCTCCAGCATTAAAAAGAGTGGCTTGAAGTAGTTCAGGAAGTTAGAAGTTGGAGTAGTCAGTGCTTAGCCTAGCAAATGCCCAGAGTTTACATTTACATATGGTCCTTCCAAGTGATACCTGGCCACTAGCTCATTCTCCTTTTTTGCTGTGGATTGCCTTAGGTTGGTGAAGCATCTGTCCATTTTCAGGAGTACCCTTAGAAGCTAGGTGTGGTGGTGCACACCTTTAATCCCAGAACTTGGGAGGCTGAGGCAGGAGGATCACTGCAAGTTCCATGCCAGCCAAGACTACATAGTGAGTTCTAGACCAGCTTGAACTATACAGCAAAACCCTGTCTCAAAAAAACAAGTACCCTTAAGTGACTTGTGGGCATGTTTCCATAGTCAAGGATGCAGTTCTTTGACAGTGTCTCCCTTCTGTGTGCACTTGGCTTAGATTATGAGTTGGCAATTTGGCTAGTAGACAAAGTAGATTTTAATTCCTCATCTTTTTTTTTTTTTTTTTTTTTTTTTGCCTTTTTAAAGACCTCAAACATCTAGACTATTTCTAGAAATTTTTTTGACACTCTTCTGATTTCTTTTAGGCTTTCAATAAATACCTCTTCACTAAACCATTTTCTTTTTTTTTGGCGGGGGCTACTGGGAATCGAACTCAGACCTTGTGCTTGCCAGGTAGGCACTTGTGCCACTGAGCTATATCCCCGGCTCCACTAAACCATTTTCTTAGAACTTCTTTAATTAGTTTCCACAACTGCCACTTACCCACCACTGGCCTTCTTTCTTCTAAGTCTCTTTGTTAACTCTAGCATAAGAACCACAAAGTCTATATCATAGATGTGTTAGTCAGCCTTTTATCGCTGTGACAAAATACCTGAGGAAAACAGCTGAAGGGAGGAAAGATTTATTTTGGCTCATGGTTTCAGAGGTTTCAGTCTGTGGTCCAATGGCTCCATTACTTTGGGCTGTGGTAAGACAGAACATCATGGTCCGAGGGAATGGCAGAGGAAAGCTGCTCACCTGACTGTAGCCAGAAAGCAGAGAGAAAGGAAGACAGCCAGAGAGGAAGGACTGTCTCCAAGGTTGTGCTCCCATGATTCCCTCCCTTCAGCTAGACCCCACTTCCTAGTTCCATCACCTCCTAACTGCCATCAAGTCATAGTCTCATCAGTGAATTAATCCATTCATGAAGTCAGAGCCTTTATAATCCAGTCACTTGTCAGAAGCCCACTAAGAGCCAAGCCTTTAACACAGTGAGCCTAGGGGCCGGGGATATAGCTCAGCAGCACAGGTGCCTACCTGGCAAGCACGGGGTCCTGAGTTCAATTCCCAGTACCAAAAAAAAACGCACAGTGAGCCTTGATAGAGGACATTTTGTATCCCAACCATAGCTATACAGTTGTTTGACTTAAAGGTAAATGCATAAAACATATAGTGGCCTCTCTATATAAATATTTATTTTAGAGCTGTCAGTGTAGTTTGATAATAGAGTACTTGCCTAGCATGCATGAGGCCTTGGGTTCAACCCCCACCACTCAAAAAAAAAAAAGTGTTGCCTTTAGGGATGGGGGAACCAAAACAGTTTCTAAGTATTTTTGTTTGTAGATTTCTCTATTTGTAGACCAAAAGAATTAATAATAGCTTCAAGATTATGGAGTGCACCACACACATGTAAAGCCAGTCATCCAAGTAAGATTTTTGTTCATCTCTTGCCTTCTATCACTCATCTCATTACATGCCTTATACAGTGATCTCTCACCAGTGAGCTCATGGGGAACCTGTAAGTGACTGGAGATATAAGAAAAGCCAAATGGTCTTCTCTGCTCCAGAAGATTTTCTGGAAGGGCAATTCAAGTCATTACCAATTTATCCTATTAACATATAATAGAGTAAAATTTTTGTTCAGTTAGCCCTTTTAAAATCAATAGTACTTACTAATAATAGTGCTTATTATAAAATATTTTATTTGGACTGAAAATTAATAGCAAAATAGAATAATGCTAATCCATTGCTTACTTGTATACAATTCTGTTATTTATTTACTTTGCTGAAATCTTGACCAAGAATGATTGGAGTCAATAAATGTGTGCTAAGGGCTGGGGATTTAGCTCAGCGGCAAAGCACCTGCCTGGCAAGCGCAAGGTCGTGAGTTCAGTTCCCGGTACCAGAGCAGGGGGGGGGAAAAATATGTGTGCTATATTTTGCTGGAGGGAAAAAACATTTTAAAATATAAAGAGATAGGTGTGGTGCCACACGCCTATAATCCCAGCACTCGGGAGGCTGAGGCAGGAGGATTGCCATGTGTTTGAAGCCAGCTTAAACTACATAATGAGACCCTGTCTCTCAAAAAACCAAAAAATAAATAAACAAATGTAATATATACTAATATATAAAGACTAAGACTGAGGCAAGAGGATAACAAGCTAACCTGGACAACTTAGCAAGACCCTGTCTCAAAATGAAATAAAAAGGGCTGGGTATGTAATTCAGTGGTAGAGTGCTTGCCTACCAGGTGTGAGGACCTGGGTTCAATTCCCAGTACCACAAAACTTTTGTACCTTTTTTTCATCACTCATAGTGCTCTCAGACAGCATTTATTATGGTGAACATTTTCCTTCCCAGTTGCCTTTTATGCATAACCATTTGAGTTTTTTAATTGGGATTTTTAGCGTGTATCTGTGTACTGTACATATATATATTGTATATTATATTTATGTTTTATTTGTAGAGTTTGTTTATTCGTTTGCTTGCTTTTATGTTGAGTGCTAGGGATCAAACTCAGAGCCAGAACCTCACTCATACCAGATTAAAGCTCTACTGCTGAGCCATATATAATGTATAAAGTTGTTTTTATTCTTTTGGAAAGCAGGGGTTAAGAAGGTAGTTCTGAAGTTATTCCATCTATGTTTGAAATCAACTTCTGCCATGCTATTTGTTGCATGACAAATTCTTACCTTCTAAATCTCAGTTTTTCTATAAAACAGGAATAATAACACATATTTATTAGTGTTGTAGTTTGTTCTTCTAGTTATAAAACTAATAAGCACCTATTCTGGAAAAATAGAAAAATACAAAAGAACTTATACAGGAAGAATCACCCTACTTCCATAAGCAAATAATAAAAAACTACTTTTTACAACCCCCCCAGTCTATATTTATATTTTCTGTGGGGAAAAGCAACTTAATATTTATTGATGTCTCAAAAGAACAAGAAGTCAGGATTTGTCTCCCAACAACAAAGCATTTAAATCTTCTTTCTTATCTCTCTATTTCAGTGTCTGATACAGCATCACAACTGTCCAAAATCTCTTATCACCTTCACTCTATAATAACTTATACTGGCTCTTGATTCTGTCTCTGCTCTTTGTATTTCCTTTCCATGCTGTATTTTAATATAGATCAAGTCAGATTATATGTAGAATTTAGAATTCTTATCCTTTAATTTTATGTAAGGTTAGAGCCAGGCATGGTGGCACACACCTGTAATCCAAGCACTCGGGTGGCTGTGAGGCAGGAGCATCCCAGTGAGTTCAAGGCCAGCCTGAACTACACAGGGAGACCTTGCCTCAAAAAAATAACCCAGGCATGGTGGCGCATGCCTGTAATCTCAGCACTTGGGAGGCTGAGGCAGGTGTATCGTTGTGAGTTCAAGACCAACCTGGGCTACAAAGTGAGTTCAAGGCCAGCCTGAACTGCATAGCGAGACCCTGTCTCAAAAAGGTAAAAAATAAATAATTAAATAAATAAATAAATAAATGCAAGCTTACAAAATTTTATGTTAAGTTTTCCCTCATGTCGTTAATTACTTTTAGATAAGGCTTTCTTTTCTCTCCTTTTTAAAGTTATGTTCTTGGAAAACTTTACTGTCTTCAATCTATTTCAGAAACTCTTGTTTTATATACTATAGAAATCCACCCTAATTTTTTTTTCTCATCTCTACAGAGCAAGGCTCAAAAATTGGAACCCATACCTCATCGAAGACTAAGAATGGTGACAAACACTATTGAAGAAAACTTTCCCCTGGGGACTGTGCAGTTTTTGATGGACTTTGTGTCACCCCAGCATTATCCACCCAGAGAAATTGTAGCTCACATCATCCAGAAAATCCTGCTCAGTGACTCTGAAACAGTGGATGTCCTCAAGGATGCCTACATGCTTCTCATGAAAATTCAACAGTATGAACCATAACACTTTGGCAAAGTCTCCAGGGAAACCTGGGCTCTTGGCCCAGTTTTCTCTTGCCTATGCTTTATTCAACTAACCATTAAGGAGGGTTCTTAATGCACTAGCGTTATTTGAATTGCAAGTGTTGGAAAATTCAATCAAAACTGGTTTTAACAACTGATAAGGCCAGGGATCTAGTTCAGCAGCAGAGCGCCTGCCTGGCAAGTGTAAGGTCCTGAGTTCAACTGCCGGTTTAAAAAAAAAACAGCTAGTAAAAGAGAATTTAATGGCTTGTGCTACTAGAGACTAAGGAATAAGGTGTGACTTGATTCTGTGTTCATAATGGTTACCAGGACCTGTTTTCTGTCTCTGCTTTGGTTTTATTTTCAGCCACTTCCTGGTAGTCCTCAGGCTCAGGCTTTTATAAAACTTCCAGTGGGAGAATTCACTTATAGCCAGACAAGAGTTCTCCAGTTTGAGTCTTGTGGGGTTTCATTGGCCTAACATGAGATGTGACCCACCTTTGAACCAATCACTATGAACTGAGGGGTAGAATATCATGATTAATTTAAAATCTCATGCTTCATCCTAGTAGGTAAAGCTAGTTGGCTAAGAGCACTGGAAAGTTGGTTTCTTCAAGACAGTGCTTCCTGGCCGGGCATGGTGGCACATGCCTGTAGTCCCAGTACTTGGGAGGCTGAGGCAGGAGCATCATCGCGAGTTCAAGACCAGCCTGGGCTACAAAGTGAGCTTAAGGCCAGCCTGAACTGCGTAGTGAGACCCTGTCTCAAAAAGACAAAAAAAAAAAAAAAAAAAAAGTCCTTCCTAAAAGGGGAGTTCTACCATGTTTATATCTACATACCTTGGATACCAAGGGGTAGGCCAGAGCCCTGGAGATAAGAAGAGGCTTTTTTCTTCTGTCATCTTCTACATCCCACCCCTTTTTCCACGAAATTCTCCAGAATTCTAATTGATGTCTCTTAACTTTCAGGCTGCATCCAGCCAATGCCAAGACAGTGGAGTGGGACTGGAAACTGCTCACCTATGTCATGGAGGAAGAGGTAACAGAAGGGTCATGAAGGTGGATCTTTTGCAGGGGAAGTTTTAAATACAAAGAAAAGTGATAGGAAATCTGTTAGTTAAGTCTACTATTATTCCCTCTGTACACCCCTGCCAAAAAATTACTATTAAAATGTGTACCGCCTTCTGATACAAACATGAATATGTGCATTTTCCCTCACCTTCTTGAGAGCCCATTAAAAATACTAGTAAATAAATGGAGAAAGTTATAAATATGTGGCTATGAAAATAAAGAGAACAGTAGATGTCACTGCTGATCAAAAAAATTACAAGAGTGGTGATTGTTGAAGCCTGACAGAAACCATAGGCAGAAATACATGTGGAAAGGCTGCAGCCACGGAGGGAAGAACGCTCGCCTTTCGAACTCCTTCAGACTGGGATTTGGGACTCAGGAATGTGGTGTGTATGGTAAAAGATAACAGTCAGATATGAGCTGTGATTGGTTATCTGTTAAAAATATTGGCGCAGTCAGCCTCTTAATTCTTGAGCACAGAAAGATCACTAGCCAAGTTGTATGCCCTTTAGGCAAAAAGCCAAAAGATTATTGTGTAAAGAAATTAAATAAACCATCTATCATAAAAATAGCTCACGTATAGCTGGTACCCCAGAAAAAAATGTTCTGTGTTCTGAACTTCAGAGACCCCAGAGCCTACTTGCCAGCTTTCTGTCTGCTCACCCTAAAGCAATTAGATAGAACACATGATTTTCAACCTAGAATTCTGTGCCCAGCCAAACTATGAATTAAGTAGGAAGGCAAATAAAGACGTTTCCAGATACACATCAGCTTGAAAACATATCCCCACACTGCTTCTTAGGAAGTCACCCTTTGGTGTCTATCTAAGGAATGAGGGTATGAGTCCAGGGAACAGTAGGGCAAGTCTACAGTACTATTGACTAGAAGTCCCAAAGTTACAATGAAGAGCAGACTTAGGGAGCAGTTGGTCCCAACTGGAGTGAAATTACAGAGGACTGTAAGGAATATTCAGAGACACATCAGCACAATGACACACTAGGGAGCTCCCGTCCCTTGTCCAGTGGAGACAGTTAACAATATATGGACCAACAGGGCATGGTGGCACACGCCTGTAATCCTAGCACTCCGGAGGCTGAGGCAGGAAGATGACTGCGAGTTTGAGGCCACCCTGAACTATACAGGGAGACCCTGTCTCAAAAAAATAAAATAAAATAAAAAAATATAGAGATATGTAGAGATAGGTAGGTAGGTCGGTAGATGGATAGGTAGATAGATAGGTAGATAGATAGATAGATAGATAGATAGATAGATAGATAGATCGATCGATCGATCTCACAATACCTTTGTGAGAACTCTAAAGATCAGGGTAACTGCAGTGACTATACCAGCACATAACCAAGCAACAAGAAAGTAACTAAGCCCGTAGCCAATCAGGAGGTGGTGCCTGTAGATGATAGAAACAGTTATTTCTGGAAGAAAAGAAGTGTAAGGGTTTGGCATAAGTGAGTGAAATCGTTATGTAGCACAGAAGATCGAATAAATCATGTCATTATGGTTATTGATCTAGCAGCTCAGTAGAGTCATTAAAGAACCAGTTTCCCTCTGATCTGATAGCCCCAGTTTTGCGGTGGTTTGGGGGATTTTTGTTTTTTGTTTTTTGAGACAGGGTCTCACTATCAGTCCAGGCTGGCCATGAGCTCACTTTGCAGCCAGGGCTACCCTCAAACTTCCAGCAATCTTCTTGCCTCAGCCTCCTGCGTACTAGTATTATATGCGTACACTCCAGTTTTGTGTTTATCCTGAGGTTGATAAAGGCCAGTGAGTTGGAGAAACTAACTTCCCATGATTGTTAAAATCAAAAACTCTGTAATCCCAGAGACTCTAGTAGACCTCCAACTATACCTTAGCTGTTATGAAAGTCTAATTATCAGTAGATTCCTAGATCTTTTGAATAAGTAAATTGTTTTTAATTCCTAGAGGGAAAAGCAGTTCTGGGTCTTTACAGAAGATTCCTTTAGCAGCTGCCCTATTTTTCCAGTTTTGCAATGACCCCAAATACAATACCTGCTTTCTCCCAGAAGCCTCTCTTTAGGGAACAAACTTATAGACTCATGACCTTCTCTTGGACTTTGTGGTGTGGTGTGGTTTGTTTTTTGCAGTACTAAGGATTAATTCCAGGGCCTCATGCATGCTAAGCAAGTACTCTACCACAGAGCTACATCTCCAGCCCTTGTTTAGGTTTTATTTTTATAAAGGGTTCACTCAGTTGCCCAAGCTGGCCTTGAACTTGCAATCCTTCTGCCTCAGTCTCCAAAGTAGCTGGTATTACAGGGGTGTCCCACTGCACCCAAAAGACTTTGGGGTTATGACAGCCAGAGACTGAAATGAAAAACTAATTTCTCATTCTTGCTCCCAAAGGGTCAGACTCTGCCTGGGCGAGTCCTTTTTCTGCGTTACGTAGTGCAGACCCTGGAAGATGACTTCCAGCACACCCTGAGGAGACAGCGGCACCACCTGCAGCAATCCATTGCGAACACTGTGCTGTCCTGTGACAAGCAGCCCCACAATGTCAGGTAACCAGCCGAGGCCTGGGAAGGCAAGGGCTGTAGGCAGGCGATTGCTGAGGGACAAAGAGTATCGGGTGTATGAGAAGTAGACCTTGTAATTGTGATAATTATTTAACTATAGACAATCAGAAAGAAACGTTCTCTGCACCAACAATATGGCAAGCACCATAGCTCAAATGATTTTTCTGTCGAGACCATCTGACTACCACTGGCCTGACTAGTTCTATATTCTCCAAACAACCTTGTGAGTTCCAGAGGGAACCTTCACATGTAAAACATTTCCATTTTATAAATCTCAATTTATTTCCTGTTGAGCGTGGTGGTACACATTGGTAATCCCAGCACTGGGGAGGCTGAGACAGAAGGATCACTGTGAATTCAAAGCCAACCTGAATTACACAGTGAGACCCTGTCTCAAAAAAAAAAATTATTTTCATTCCACTGTGAACTTCATATTAATCTCATCTGTCACTGCTAGTTTCTAAAAAGTAGTAAGTATGATAATGGGTTGTGTAACTGACATTAAGGTTCAGTAGGTGGCAAGCATATGTTTTGTTTGTTTGGTTGGTTGGTTTACTTTTCCATAGAATCAGTACCACAGCTCCTAGAAGCTTTGGCATGTGAAACTACTGTATGCTGGGAAGATAAAGATCCCAGGCTGGAACGTTCCTACTAGAAATTCATCCCTTGTTTTTTTGGAAACTGATCACACTAGAAGAGTATACCAATATCCCTATTTTTCAGAGTAGCCTTGAAATTATTCCACTCATACTTGCATTTCCATGTGGTCCTACATATTTGTTGAGAATAGTTTTCACGGGACAATGTTGGGTACTGACTGTTGTAATTACTCCAAGCCAGGTGTGATGATGCACACCTATAATCCCAGCACACCAGGAGGCTGAGGTGGGAAGATCACAGATTCAAGCCCAGCCTGATCGATTTAGTGACTTATGCCTTGTCTCAACAAAAGCGGGTGGGGTTGTAGCTGTGTGTGAAGGCCCTGGGTTCCATTCCCAGTTCTACAAAAGAAAAAACTAATAAAAAAGGAGGGAGTTTCATTACTGTTTCGGTATTAATCCACCTACACACACCTGTCCATCTCTATGTGGCATTTTATGCAAAGTTTAAATGTTAGTAATTGTGAGGAAAGAAAATCGTATATAAAAGTATATGGACTCCACAAAGAGCTTAGTTATGGAGACCACTATGAAGCTCTTAGGAGTCTGTCCCAGGCCTAGGTGACTTGCTTTAAGAGTGGTGGCTGGCGTGCAGTAAGTGAACCTCTCCACTGCAACGGTCACAGTAGAGGCCTGTGACACAGTGATTGACCTATGACACAGTGATACCTTGGAGGGCAAGATAAAGGCACAGCTGAGGACTCCTGGCTATTTCTCCAGTTTGTACGATACAGACTGCAAATGCAGCCATTTGGGTCCTGCTGTAAATGTCAGCCCTAGAGATAGAACATTTCTCCTAATTGGCAAAATTTACTGTTCGGAGAAGTCTTTGATCTAAACTTCCCAAGGTCCTGCTCAGTTCCCACCATACCTCATTATTCCATTCCTTTGTTTGGAAACCCAATAAATGCAAGTGCTCCGGAGAACTCAAGGTCTTAGCTCCCAGGCAGTTCTGACCTTCCTGGATTCCCTCAAAACAATATTCCATTGTCTCTTTTAGTTAAGCCTTTGCTGTAACTCATTCTAGGAGGTTGAGGGGCCTGATGAGTCCCCAGTAGCTTAGGACAGTGATGGTTAACCTTAGAGCTTTCAGTGATAACAAGCAGCCATCTGTGGCACACGTGCCGTAGGTTTGCCACACTGGCTTGGGAGAATATAGTTGAATTTTAAAGTGAAAACAAGTTAAGTAATGAGAGCAGTTCTGTCTCCCATCATACTCTGTGAGAGTAGGCTGTGGAATGAGTAGGACTTGCAAATGTGAGCCTACTGCTCTCATAGTTGCTTTCATTCCTCCCTCTATGGGATCAATTATATGGATTGATTCCTGGGTATAAAAATAGGTATTTTAGGGTGATGGTTTTTTGAGACAGAGTCTCTGTACATCCCAGGCTAGCCTTGAACTCTTTAGGAGAATATTTATAGACTTGAAATCCCAGTCAGATCTTCTGTTTTGTTTTTAAATGATGAAAAATAATTTACTTGTTCCAGCTGAGGTACATTCTCCAGCTGGACAGGGTCTCTCTTTATCACCTAATTGCTTGGGCTGGGCTCAAACTTGTGTTCCTCCTGCCTCAGCCTCCCAGGGTGCTGAAATTATGGATGTGTGTCACCATGTCCAATTTAAATAAGCTCTTTGATTCATTAAGACATGCATATTAGAGTGATGTGGTGATTGCGTGGGTGTATGCATATATTTATGTAAACTCATCAGGTAAAACCTGTACAGCTTATTCTAGGTAAATTACATTTCAAACAGGAGTTTTGGTGGGGGAGAAAGAGAGGAGAGTGTGTCTCTCCTTATTACTCTTAAAGGATTTTCTTTCTTTTATTTTCAACTATGCACATTGTCAAAATTTAAGAAAAACATAGGTTTCTAGGTCCTCTTAACCTGCATTTCCCCATCCCAATTCTTTTGCTGTTTACCTCCATATGTGTTTATTTTTCATTTATTGGCCACTGTAAGTTACTGACTTCCCACAAGAATGATGAGACAGAACTCCCCCCAGTTTTTCCAGTCTTTATACCATTAATGTTGTTATATCATAATTTTGTTGAAATTGTGCTCAGTGTTTCTGTTACTGTGGTATGACTGTGTGTGCTAGTCAGAGGTTAGCAGTGTGCTATGATGATTTGTCCTTTTATTCATGTCTGTTGCTTTCCTAGAGTTAAAATTTGTCTTATTTTTATTTTCTTTTTGTGTGTGTGCATATCAGAAGTCAACCCCAAATTCTCTGCTAGTTGGTCTCAATCTCCCTTTAAGGTGTTTGTTCACACTGGGTAGTCTTAGCAATTACTTCATCTTGAAGATCTGAGTTGGAACATTTTGACCCCTTCAATCAGGACTGGTGACTTCTTTGCCAGTACTCATTATAAACTTGAGTGTTCCCTTTGCCTTTTTCCAGCATTGGATCTCTCTGTCCTATACCTTTTCTTTCTTGGTTTATTGCTTTGTTTCATTGTTGTTTGGTTGGTTGGGTTGTTTTTGTTTTGAGACAGGGTCTTGCTATGTTACTAAGGCTGGTCTTTATTTTTTGTTTTTATTTTTTTTTTTTTTTGGTTTTTCTCCGGTACCGGGAACTGAACTCATGACCTTGCGCTTGCCAGGCAGGCGCTTTTGCCACTGAGCTAAATCCCCAGCCCCCTAAGGCTGGTCTTTAACTCTTAGGTTCAAATGATCTCCTGGTCCAGCTTACTCTTTGTTTTGATGAATCAGGCTTTAATAAGTTTCTAAGAATATTATGTAGGAAGTAAAATTTTTAAAATCTTGAATATATGAATTTTTTCCCAGATATGGATTAATAACTAACCTGACTGCAGATATTTAGTGATTGTTAACTACGTTGATACTTAGTTTAGAAATAACTTTTTCTAGCCAGGTGTGGTGGCTCATGCCTGTAATCCCAGCACTTGGGAGGCTGAGGCAGGGGATTGCTGTGAGTTCAAGACCACCTTGAACTACACAGTAAGACCCTTTGCAAAAAAAAAAAAAAACAAAACATTTTCTGCAAAACTTTAAAGAAAGTCTTCATTGTCTTCCAGCTTCCAAATTTGTTATTAAGGCGTCATAAGCTATTTTGATTACTGATGTTTTATATGTTCTGGTTTTTTCCTCTGGAAGTTTATAAAATCCTCATTTTGTTCTAAACGCTTGTTGTAGGTCTATATTTACCCTTTGTGTTCAGCATTATTGGGGCCATTTCAATCTAGATAAATAATCTTCATTTCTAGAAAATAGCGCTCCTCGTTTTTGATACGTTTCTAATTTTCAAGAGCTCTTTAATTTTTTCTCCACATATTCCTTCTTAAAATCAACAAATAGTATACCATCTTCCAAAAATACAAAAAAAAAAATTATTTTCTTCTTCCCTGGAGTCATGCCATCTCATATCTTTGGTAATGCTAATGATAGATTTCTGGTTTTATTTATTCTCTGATTCTCTCCATAATACCCATTTTCTCCAAGTTGTCTTTCTTGTGGGGGAGGAGCTTGGTGTTGGCTGTCTGATCTCTGACTTTAATGTTAGGCACTTTCCTTGGTCTGCTGAGCCTTGGTAGGTGAGCCTTGAAAGGTGAGAGACTCAAAAGATGATGAAAGCTCTGAGGACGTAGGAGGACTTGTCATTTCTGCATTTTCCTATCGGTGGAACTAGTTTCCCATTTCTTAGAAAATCTCATGTCATTGTCTTCAGATATTCCCTCTTGGACTGGTTGGGTTTTCCAGAGAAGACTTTCAGTCTCCTACACAAAAGATAAAAGACCAGGATGCCAGGGACTTGGAAGAGAAGGGTGAGAAGATGACCTGGATCTCTGCATTCTGCTTGCATGTGTTCATTTAGTGTCCCTGTTTGCTTTGGTGCCTTTGTCTCCACACTGCATCCGATGTCCCAGACCAGAGACCCTCTGTCTTTACCTCTCCACAAAGGTAACCTGTAGTCCATTGAGTTGGAAAGGGATCTAGGAGTCTAAATTTTTTAAAACAGCTTTCCAGCTGTCCTACTTAAACTGATCACCCTCTGTGCTCACGTTGACAGCACATATACTAAAACTTATCCCCTTTCACCCTTTCATCAGAGAAACTGTACACTATTTGAAGAGCTTATTGAAGATCTTTTCTTTCTTTCTTCCCTCCCTCTGTTTTATAACTAGAATTAAATAGGATTATTCTTCTCTACTGCTAGCCTAAGATTCAGCTTTATCCATTCTGCTAAATCAACTACAAGTTATCCCTTTGCCAAAGCTACAGACTAGGAGTAAACGTTATCCTTAAAACATGACACATTTGACTCATTTGCTTAGGTAATGGTCACCTTCAGTCAGCATCTGTTCGCCTGTCCCGATATCAAAGAGTCGGACTTTGACAGTTACCACATTCCACATATCCAGCCCCCACCTCCCGTTTTTCACTTGCCTTCACTGGCAGTAATCATCCTGAATGTTGATTATTTCATTTCTTTCCTCTGTATGCAGTTATACAGCATATATGTGTGTTTCTATAAAGTATATATTATTTTAGTTCCTTTTGGCTTTATATTAAAAGCTATTATGCTGTATTTAGTCAATTGAGACTTTTATTTTTCACTTGATATTTTATAATACTAAGATTTGGCCGTATTATTGCTTGTCACTGTAACTTACTCATTTTGACTGCTATGCAATATTAATTTTTTTTTTTTTTTTGGTACCGGGAATCAAACTCAGGACCTTGCACTTGTGAAGCAGGCACTTGTGCCACTGAGCTATATCTCCGGCCCTGCAATATTTTTTTTTTTTTATTTTGGAGAATAAAAGACGGATAACATAATAATAGGGGGGATTTAGCAAATTACAGACAAAATGGTAGGAAATTATCAATGGTTATCGTTTTACGTATTATTATCTACAAAACAATCTCTCAGGAAAACAAATAGACAAATAATAGTGAGTTAGAGACAAAAGAGGTAGGAGATTATCAAGAGTTGTTGT